CAAAGTGGTTAGACTGTACATTTGTTGAATATCGACTGCATGGTTTTTTTTTAAATAGTTGCTACACCTTCCAGCTTGTGGAACATCTGAAGCAAAGCAGACCACACATATCAGGCAATAAACAATAAAGGCGGTAATATTCAATAAGACAAGGCTCATGATGTTCACCTACAGAATGACAAATATGCCTCATGACACATGGTTCATATTTCAAATCAAGCAAGCCTCCAACAAATGTTTTGGATTCATTTTCTTTAAAACAGATGTAATTATCACCTATTTCAAAATTCTTTAAGCAGATTTGCCTATGCTCCCCTCCATGGAGACCACATAATTTGCCATTATAGTAATATACAACATTTAACAAAGATTTAGCTGTCTCCATACCAAATACTCCACTTTGCCACAACTGCCTTTCTTCATCAGCAACTGGCTCTTTTTCTTTTGTTTCGCTTTCAAACCAATGCCAGCTCAAGTCCCATCCTTCATTTCTGCATCCAACATTCATCTAAAGATAGCAAATCTAATAAGGAAAAGAGAAAAGTTTGATGCAATTTCCTTAAGTTTTAAAATATCAAACGGCCCCCCTGTAACATATAAACACTCTACCGATGTTGGAGTTAAACAACACACATGTTTTATTTCATGCTGTGCCTACAAGATGTCAGTGGTATACATAACATCCCCCCTTCTCTCTCTTGATAATATCAACAACAACAACAACAAATATATATATATATATATGGTAACTGAACAGAAACAGAAAGTGTTTTCACAATTAACAGTGTCTGTTATTGCTATGTTTTCAATGCCTGTCCAACTCTGAAAATTAATTATAGGTCTAGTTTCACTGGCTTCTTGACTTGTCTGCCACTTCAAGTTGTGTACAGGGTCAACCCCCTAGTTGCTGCTACTTCAGGTGAAGGCGGTATCTTTCTTGCTGGGCTTTTCCTTGTGACTGACTGGTCTGGCTGGTAATCTAATGGTAGCTTCTCCATACGTGCATCTGGCATGGGTGGTGGCACTGCATGCGGCACTACACATGGTTTCTCAGGATCTGTCTCTGCCTCCTCGATGTTTGCATGACAGCTCTGATACCCTGCATGTGACTTGAGGGAGTCTGTTCTTATTGCCACTCTATTTCGTCCCATTCTTTGGTCCCTTACATCGACTATGTAAGATCTGAGTGATGTATGTTGTTGCACAACTGTCGCTGCTTTCCAGTCCTTTGATCCCATTTCAGGTTTCACTCTAACAAAATCACCAGGCTTAAGTGGGGGTAGCTCTTTAGTACCTCAGCAATCATGGTAGTATTTCAGCTTCTCTTTGCCATACTTCATTCTTGCTCTTATCTCTTTGGTGTTGTGTGCCTCAGGCTCTAGCAGACCACAAGCTATTGGTAGTGTTGTCCTTAGCCTGCGTCCCATGGAGAGTTGAGACGGAGAGAGGTTGATCCCTTGGATTGGGGTTGCTCTGTACTCTAGAAGTGCTTTGTTCTTGTCATTGTTTTTCCTCCATAGTGATTTTACTGTTTTGACTGCTGCTTCTGCTTCTCCATTTGCACGGGGGTGCTTGGGACTCACTAGGACATGTTCAAAGTTGTAGCTTCTGGCAAAGTCTCAAATTCCTTGCTTGTGTATTGGACACCACAGTCAGTCACCAGTTTTGCTGGAATACCATGTCTGCTGAAATGTTCCTTCAGTGCTTCGATGGTATCCTGGGAAGCAAGGTAATAGAGTTTAGTTACTTCAATGTACTTGGAGTAATAATCAACCAATACCAGGTAATGACGCGTAGTTGTGGCACATGGTACAGTCTTTTACTTTGTCTTCTATTTGAGCACTCATTCCAGGCCAATAAAGTGCGTCCCTGGCCCTCTGTTTGCACTTCACAATTCCAAGGTGTGTTCTGTGTATTAAGGCAAACATGGCTGGTCTCATGGACGGGGCACCACAATCTTCATCCCTCTGCAGATTACACCATCTAAGACTGCAAGTTCATCACGCGACTCCCAGTATTCTAGTATGCTGTGTGGGACCTGTTGTTTTGTTTCTGGCCACCCTGTTTGAATCATAGCATACAGCTCGTTTGCAGTTTTTTGTTGGAGTTCTGTATACTTTGGCTCTGAAATGGATATTCTTTCCAGCATGTTTACTTGTATCTCATCTTTTTCCACTTGTAGTTCATTCAGACTTGCTTGGCTAAGGGTATCAGCGAGAACTTGCTTCTTGCCTGGAAGATACCCCACTTTTAGGTCATAATCGCTTACTTTCAACATCATTGCTTGTAATCTTAATGGTGCCGTTACTATTGGTTTGTGGAGAATTGTCTCTACGGGTTTATGGTTGGTCTGATCCACAGTCATTTTGCCTAGAATGCACTCTCTAAATTTCTGTGTACTGAACACAATTGCCAGCATTTCTTTCTCCATTGGGGCCCAGTTGATTTCAGATTCTCAAAGTTTGCGAGACACGTAAGTTGTTGGCCTTCCCTCTTGGAGTAGGACCACACCCACTGCTTCCTTGCTGGCATCACACTGTATAGTCACTTCCTCATTGACATCATAGTAGGCAAGCACAGGGGCTTTACAGCACATATCTTTGAGCTATTGGAATGCATCTGCCTGTGGCTTATCCCAGTGGAAAATTACTTCTTTTCTAGTGAGCTCTTGCAACAGGGTTTCAACTTCTGCAAGCACTGGGAGGAACTTGGTCAAATATTGTATGGATCCCAGAAATCTGTGTACATCCTCTTTTGTTTCTGGAGGTGGCATATCCTTCATGGCTTTCACTTTTTCTGGGTCAGGTTTGGGTCCTTCTGCTGAGATAATGTGGCCCACATATTGGAATTCACACTTTAACCTTGTCAAAATTCAATCTGAGGTTGTAGCTTTTGGCTCGCTGGAGCACTGCCTCTAGCACCAAGTCATGATGAGCAAGGTTACGACCTGTGACTAATATGTCATCCATAATGGCATATGCATGATCGATACCTTTCAACATTTCATTCATGGTCCTTTGATACATCTCTGGAGCTGATTTGATTCCAAAAGGCAGCTTCAACCATCTGTATCAACCTATAGGAGTGTTCATAGTTGTTAGTAGGCTGGACTCGTGGTCAAGTTTCATTTGGAGATACCCACTCTTTGCGTCACGGACTGCGAACACTTTGGCATCAGGTATTTTAGCTGAAATTTCTTCAACTGTAGGTATTGGATAATGTTCCTGCTTAACGGCTTTGTTCAGGTCTCCTGGGTCTAAACAGATCCTGATCTTGTCACCTCAACTTGAAACCACCATAGAATTGACCCAATCAGTGGGCTGTGTGACTTTGGCTAGATGCCTTTCCTTCTCCATTTCTTTAAGCTTGGAAACGATCTTGGGAAGGAGTGCAGCGGGTTGTCTGCAAGGACCATATACTACCAGCATTGCTGTGGGGTCACGTTTCATTGAGTAGGTTCCTGGCTTGACTCCAGATCCATTTAGCAGATCAGGGTGTTGATTCAACAACTCCTTAAGGCTCACATCTATTTTATGCACTCGCTGGACCAAGTCGAGGGCTTGACAGACTTTGCCAGATAGTATTGGTTTCTGCTTGCTATCTACAACATAGAAGTTTACATTTAACTCCTTGTCTTTAAATCGCACTGGAAGGGTGACGTAACCCTTTGGTTTGATCTGGTGTTGGCTATGGGAAACCAAAGTCTCCTTGGTTTTCTTAATACGGGCATTTGCTGCTATTTGTCTGAGCTGGGTGGTGTTAATCACACTTGCATAGGCACCAGTGTCGAGCTGACAAAACAGGGTGCTATCGCCCACTTTCAGGAATTCACACCATTCATCCTTTTCACCTGGGTTCTGGTTGTCGTTGATCCTGTTTATTTCTAGACTTGCTACATGTAGTAGTTGTAAGTCCCTGTCAGCACCTTCCTCATCAATGGAATATTCATCTCCCGAATGGTCTGTTTCATTCAACACCTTAACAATACTTTTCCGACTTCTGCACACTTGGGCAGTGTCCAGTTTTCCTGCACTTATTACACGACTCATTCTTGGCTGGACACTTTTCTTGTGGCTTGTGTGCATTGTATCCACACCTGTCACATTTCTGGGCCTCCTAATTGTTACCTTTTGGTTTCTTGAAATTTCTTGCCTTTTTATGCTGCCTAGAAGAGTCCTTCTTCCATACAACTATACTAACTTCAATTCTCAGGTCTTCACCTGACATCACCTACAGTCCATCCCTTGTGGCCTCAAACATTCGACCGATTGACCGGCAATCTGGTACAATGTTTTCAGAGGGTATGGATCTTTGGAACACTTTGCTACCTCTTGAACAAATTTTGATTTGGCACACTCCTAACTTTTATACTATTTATCTGCAGCTTATCTGAGGACAAATATGGTAATATAAGTACTTCTGTGACATAATAATGGGTAAATTTCAAATTTGGGTAGTATAATTTTTTTGAAAGCCAAAAAATGGATTTAAAAAGACATTTTTTGATCACAATGCAACAAACCAAATATTTAATTATTGGCAAAAAGTGAAGGGAATACTCTTCAATATTCTTGAATAACCCCCTCTGCTTTATCATGGGTATTCTATGACAACATTCTCAGAGCCTGAGGATAAATATTCTTTAATTTTACAGTTTTTGGTCTCCTGATTATCAAACTGCAGTTTGCTGACATTTTCCACTTCACAAACATTAAAAAATTGGCCAATTTCAGAAATTAGTGCTTCAGTAAATTAATATCACTTCATGGTGGTTGAATATAGTGGAATAACTAAATTTCTTACCCCAATCTGAATTCAGAGACAACTTGTTATTGCGGGGAAGAGGTGGCCACACATAATAATATGTACTTGAAGTCAAGGTCATATCCCATAATTCGGCAAAGCATTCTTTGAAGTCTAATGGGATTCTCCCCAACTGGTCGCTTGAGTACTGCAGCAAGTGGTTTGTGGTCATTATGGACTGTTACTTTTCTTCCATA